CGATGCGACAGGCTGCACTGCTGGGGGGGGCGGTCCTCGTCCAGCACGGGGATCTCTCGTGGGACGCGTGTCTCGACTGCGTGAGCTTGCCTTCCCCTCTCTGTCAAGTAAAGCTGTGCGCGGCCCGCTTAGCTTCGACCGGAAGAGCCTCGCTCTCGACCCGCGGATCCAAAAAAAAAAGTGTCTTGACCGCGTGAGCTTGCCTTCCCCCACGCTTCCTCCCTGCTCGCCAGGAGGATGCGGGGCACTCTTCTTGTCAGTACAGGTCGCTCGCCTGCACGACAGGCCAGCAGAGCACTTCTCTGGCAGGGAGGCGTTTTTTTATGTGTGGGAAGAAAGGCGTGTCGTGACGGGGAAGGTGGACGGGGCTTGGGACGGGAGGGTCTACACGGCATCGCTGATGCATCTTGGGTTTATTCTTGTTCCTCCGCCTCTGTTCTCTCCCTCCTCCGTCCTCTCCCTCCTCCGTAGAGTCCCTCCCTCCTTTTCCTCCTCAGTCGTCGTCCTTGTCCTACACTTCCAGGGCATCGAGTCTTTCCTTGGCTTCCCTTGGAATTCTGGCCAGAGCGCCCCCCATGTTGAAGCCTGGAGGCCCTCCTCCCCCCCTCCTGCTCAGGTGGGCGAGAAGCATATATCCGTGTGCGCGGCCTCGCGGGCCGGGCCCCTGGGGCCGCGACCCTGCGGATGCGGGGCTTTTTGGGGGGCGACTGCCTCGCGCGGGACGTATCCGTGCGACGCGCGCCCGCGGGATCGCGCCCCCGGACTCGAGACCGCGAGGGCGCACACGGACGGGCTCGCCCCGCTCCCCTGAAGTCGGGCGTGTCCCTCTCAAGGGGGAATCGTCAGACCTAGTCGACAAAATAGTCGGGGGGCTATGTTTTGGACACTTGTGGAAGAGTTGGGGGGTATTTTTGAGCATTTTTTTTTGTTTTTTAATTTTAGTCGAAACATAGTCTGGGGGCTATGTTTTGGACACTTGGTTGAAGAGTTGGGGGGTATGTTTGGAGCATTTTTTTGTTTTTATATAATTTTTCGCCCCCCCAAAAAAAAACCTGTAGGGGACAGGCCCGACCGAACGCTTCCCCCCGCGACGCGCCCCCGCCCCCCCTCGTGAGGAGGGGGCGGCCGGGCCCTGGGGCGGTGGGCGGCGGCGCGCGGGAGATAAGTGGGGCCCGACGGGCGGGCCGCGGCGGGAGCCTCCCGCGCGTGGCCGACGCTCCGGGCGCGGAGCCGTCCCCCGGCAGCAGCGCGGGCCTCAGGGCGCGCTCGTCGCTCGCGGCGGCCGCCGGTCGGGTGCCCGTCCGATCGGAGCTCTCTGGGCGGCGACGTACCGATGGGGCCTTCCTGCACTCGGGGGCGGAAAAGAGGGGGGTGATGACTAGGGGGGGTGGATATCATGGCGTGGGCCATGATATTTCCCCAGATTTCATGGCGCCTCTTCTTATTTCTTTACGTCCCTGGACCCCCCGCTGGGCCGCGCACATGCCGCCGGTCATGATTTGCACCCCCCCCTCTTGGACACCCCCCTCTTGGCCGCTCCCGACGCACACATCTGGGCCGCATTGCCCTGACCTTCCCGAGAGCCATGTTTTAGCACTGGAGGCCAAAGAACCTAAGAAAACGGAGCGAAACACAGCCTAACACCAAGGCGCAGAATAGCTTTGGGATAGGTTTTCACGTCGGGTGTTTTTTTTTGGCCCTCCTGGAAGGTCAGGGTATGGGCCCCATTCCTCCTGCTCCCCCTCGCCCTTTTCCCGCTCGCCCCCTCCTCTCCTCTGCCCTCCTCGCCTCCCTTTTGTGACGGGGCGAGCCCAGTCCAAGTCCGGCCCATACTGCCGGAGCCCTGAAGAAAGAACCCTTTCCGTTGGGGAGGGGCTCCGCGTTCCTTAGGTGTTTCGCAGCTTGCCTCAGGTCTTCCTCATGTCTTCGATCGGAAATCGAAGTTTAGCTTATGGGAGAAGCGGGCCTCGTTCCTTATGTTGGGCTCCTTAGGTCAGGGCCCCGACTGTACCAGGCTGCTCAAGGCGGACGGCGCCGAGGGCCGCCCGAGCTCCCGTGGAACGTGGGCACCAAAACCGTTGCGGCCGCTGCGGCCGCCGCTCGCAGGGAGCCCTCGGACGCCGCGGCTCTCCAAACGGAAGGGGCCCCAGGACACACACACAAACACACACAAATAAAACATTCCCCATATTTTCTCATATTTCCTGGGTTTCTGTCTCCCCCCCCCACTTCCCATATCTCCCCATATTTCTGGGGCATCGAGGATTAATTGTGTCTGTGTGTTTTTTCCTCTCCTGACAAACCTCACGGGGGGAGCATGTCCAGGAGGGAAAGGAACACACAGACACAAAGTAGTCGTCTTCTCCCAAGAACAGATATTTGCAGGACGACTGCGACGACGAATGATCTTGACGTGGACGAGGACCGGGACGAGGACGAGGTGGGGAGGGAGGAGGAAGAGGAGCAGTGCGAAAACGAGGGATCGGAGGCGGAGGCCGTCGCAGGCGCTTTCTCGTGCACTCCGGCCGGTCGGGCCGGGCAGAAGCCGAGGCGACGACGAGGACGACGCGGGCCCGGTGGTGCAGGTCCAGCTGTTCGGCGCGGCGGGGGGGCCCCCTCGCATCTTGCAGAGACTGGCAGACGGAAGAGCGGCGCGAGGGTAAACTTCCAGGGGCCCGCGCGGATCTCTATTTGGTCGGCACGGAGCCCCCCTCCCATGCGCCTTTTGCCCGGGGTCCCTCTTCCTCCTCCTCCTCCTCCTCCTCCTCCTCCTCCTCCTCCTCCTTCTCCCTCCTCCTCCGCCTCCTCCTCCTCCTCCGCCTCCTCCTCCTCCTTCTCCCTCCTCCGCCTCCTCCTCCTCCTCCTCCTCCTCCTTCCAGAGGCGCCGCCAGGGGGAGTCCGGCGCCGGCCCAGGAGGCCCGGTCGGGTCTCCCGAAGTTCACGCTCGTGCAGCCTCTTTGTCGTCGCCTGCGATCCCGCGTCTGGTCTTCGAGATGCTGCAGGAGAGGGCGGGCAACCAGGAGGCGCTGGCGAGGCTCCTCCACGCCCTGGCCTCGCGCCGGGCGCTCGCGGCCGAGGAGGGGCAGGTCCCAGACGCGTAGCTCGCCGGTCTCGTGTTCATAGGGCTGCGCTTGCCTCAGAGGCGACGATCGGGGCGAATAGCCCAGGGGAGAGCAATACGCAATACATGTACTCAGGCGCGCCGATGATCTATGTCTTCGAAAAGGCTCCCGGGCGAATACATGTAATGCCCGCCCCTGGGCTACTTGCCCCCATCGTCGCCGCCGACGTTGCCCGCCCGCGCCCGCGCTCGTGCGCCAAAAGTCCGAGTGCGTGCCGCCCTGGTCTATGGTTGGTAAGCCTTCTGGCTGCGCACAGACAGCCTCCCCAGGCAGTCCTGGCCGGCGTCAACGCGTCAACAGGCACCCACAGTAGTCCCAGCTGGCGTCAACAGGCCCCCTCCGAGTAGTCTTAGGTCGGGCCTGCCCCTCTACAGTAGGAGTATTCAAAGCACAGTTTAAAAAATGATATGGGGACGATTTTTCCAGTAATTGTTGATCATCAGTAGCCCCCCTGGCGCCGCCTCCAGCTGCGCCCCAGGGGCGCTCCGCGCCACAGGGTTGAGGTGTCGAGGCGGGCCCAGACTACTCGGGGGCCTGTTCGGGCCAGCTGCCCTCAAGGCCGGCCGGGGCTGCCTGGGGGGCTGTCTGTTCGCAACCCGAAGCCTTGCCAGGCCCGGTGCCCGCATGCCCTTGTGGCTTGATACGCTGCTGCTTTTGCATCTCCCTTCTTCTGTGGGCCGCTGCGCCTACTAGTGCCCGCCTCGTCCATCGCCCCTGCTGCCCGCACCTGGATGCATGCGCATTTTTATGTGTGCATCGCCGGTGGGAAGTCAGCTTTACACACGTCTTCCAGCTGGAGAAATCTTGCTGTCGCGATGCAGATCACCTGGGCCACGCTCAAGCCGAGCATCACCACCAGGACGAGCATGGCGACGAACAGCACGACGGGGTACCAGCTGCGCGACGCTGAAGCTCGCCGCTGAGCAGCTCCGCGACTCTGAAATGTGCTTATGGCGAGCAGCACGAAGGGTACCAGAAGAACGTCGCTGAGGAGCGCGACAGGTCGCCAGCAACGCGGCGCTGATCAGCACGAGGGATGCTGACAGTGTCGCTGAGCAGCACAATGACATGCAGCTCAATTATTCAGACTCCCAGTGTTCATCAGCATGGCGGGTTGCTGGCAGCACGACGTTGAGCCGCACCGTGTCAGGTCTCTGCGCTGGCCATCTTACCACTCAGCTCGGCTGGGCAACATCTCTCACACTCGTGACTTCCTCTCACAGTGCCGTCACCGGCGGCATATTTGAACCCCCATTCCCCGGATAGCGACGCGATGGAGTGCAGTGCCACGATTCGCATGCGCCAGCGACCGGCATGACGCACAGCAGTAGCAAGGCGGCGAGCAGTTCGACGGATACCAGAAGCAAGACTCCATGATTTTGGGTCTGGACCGCAGGTGCAATTCCACTCGCGATCGCATTTGCAGGTGCACCCTACTGTAGCTATCGTGCTGTGTATAATCGTTGATGTAAAGTGGCTCAAGCCATGCCGCCGACCAACAGCAGAGATGTCCAGGGCGTTCGGTAGGCTTTGTTGGAGCGAGGGTGGCTCGAGATTAGGTTCACGCCCGCGAGGGTGCAGCATGATGATGATGATGATGATGATGATGATGATGATGATGATGATGATGATGATGATGACGACGACGACGACGACGACGAGGACGACGACGACGACGACGATGATGATGAATGATGATGATGATGATGATGATGATGATGATGATGATGATGATGATGATGATGATGATGATGATGATGATGATGATGATGATGATGATGATGATGATGATGATGATGATGATGATGATGATGATGATGATGATGATGATGATGATGATGATGATGATGATGATGATGATGATGATGATGGTGGTGGTGGTGGTGGTGATGATGATTATGATGCTGAGGAGGAGGAGGAGGGGGAATCTAAGCGCGGAAGTCGGAATGGTGTTTGACATCGGGGATCCTTTTGTCTGCTCCTGGTGGGCTCATGGGGCTGGCTGGGAACTTTGTGGTATAGAGGTTCTAGGATGCATCTGAGGGTATCTTGGAGTGACTTCTCAGGCGCCTCTTAGAAGCTTTTGCTGGCATCTGGTTGGCTTTGGGGGCCTTTTGGAAGCTTTTTGGGAACCTCTTGGGGGCCTCTCGGAGGCCTCTTGGGAACCGCTTGGGGGCGCCTCGGGGGGTTCTGGGGGGTTTCTGGGGCCATGACGGGGGGAAAGTCTCGAGATGTCAGTTCGTATTGCTCCTTTGGAGCCTTTCTTCGGGCCCTCGTGGGCTTTCGTAGGGGCCCTGGGGCCGTCTTGGGAGCCTCTTAGGCCCTATTGGGGCCATATTGGGCTGTCTGCGGGCCCTCTTGGGGGCTTCATAGGCTGTCTTGTGACGTTATTTGGGGCCTCTTGGGCCGTATTGGCCGCTGTCATGGCGAAATGGGCGGGTACGTAGCAAGTCCACGCATTCCAAAGGGAATTGGGCGATTGTCGTGTCTTGTGGCCCTTTCGGCAGTCCGTTGGGAGCTCTCTTTGGCCTTTATGGGGGCTTCGTGGGCTCTGGGTTGCCCTTGGCCGTCTCGACGCCCTCTTGGTCTGTCTCGGCGCTCTGCTTGGGCCCTCTTGGGACGTGTTGGGGCCCTCTGGAGGCTCCTGAAAACCACCGGGGGGGCGCTGACGAGTTCGTACACCCCCCTCTTCTTGAACAGGATTTTGGACCCCTGGGGAGGAAGATGGGGGAGGGGGACAGCCAAATGTTTCGCACGCCTTGGCACTCACGGCAAGCGGGGTTCGGCGGATTTTCCCTGAAGACAACTGTGAGCGCAAGCAAGGCTACACCGCCAGGTGGCTTTCGACGGAAGGTCACCGATGAACAGCCTCCTCAAGGTTGAGAGGCGCGCTGGGCACTCATGGCTGAAGGCCGCTTCGAAGTCGAAGGGCGCACTTGGCACTCTCCGCTGAACGGCCCCGCCGCCCGCACACAGACGCGCTTGGTTCAACGATTGCTGGAGTGCGGGGGCCATCCACCGATGCGCGGGAGCGACATACGGCTTCTGATATGTGTTTTGGAATTTTACTTCATGAGTTACGAAGCGGCTCATGAGTTCTGGCTCCTATGTTCACGGAGTTCTGCTTCGTGCGTTCAGCTGTATGAGTTGGCAGGCGGTCCATACTGCTCACGTGAGATTGCGGCCGGGCTCGTTGGCGGAGCCGGTCCCTTGTCTCTGTCAGACCTCCTCTGTTGGGTTTGGCTGTGCTCATCTGGGCGCAACTCCTCTCACAAGGGGTTTGGCTCATTGTGTTGCCAGATCTCCACTCACGGCCGTGATTCAGACCACCTACGTGCAAGCCTCACGGCCTGCCAGCTCTTCGTGTTACCAGAAAGTGATATATGAGTTTGACCATGGACATCCAGCAGAACAACCATTGGGGTAATCGTTTTCTTGCTGCCTGAACGTCACTGTTGGGACTAGTTCTGATCATCTGGAGCTAACACTCGGTGCTCTTCGTCTTGCCAGGACTTACCCCTGGGCCAGATTTGGAGCGCCCGGAGCCAGCTCCTCTCCACCTTTGGGTGTTATTCATTTTCTCATGCTCCAGCTCCCGCTACGCTCCCACACCAGCACGGGCTTCGGCTTCTGCTTCGTGCCAGTCCCAGTTCCAGCCTTGGCCCCAGTTCCAGCTGCAGCTCCAGCTCCAGCTCCGCCCCGGCTCCAGCTCCAGCCTCGCCTCCCGGCGGGGTGAAAGCGGCCCGAGGGCCGTTGGCACCCTGTCGTTTCAATGGCTCCATCGTTCCGACGAGGGGATGCCCCAGTGCGGCGTCGTCGCCGCCTCACGATTCGCCTCGTGCTTTCCTCCCGCTCGGGGAGCTACCCGAGGACACACCGGCGGGCTGCTGGAGCTGGGCACCGCGGGCGGCCTGCTGGGCCACGTGATGCTGGTCGTCGAGCCGATCAAGCAGGTGCCTCCCGGGAGAGGGGACGAAAGGAAGAGAGGGGGAAGGGAGGGAGGGAAGGGGGGGAGCGGGGGCGCGGAGAGACCCCCCCAAACAGCTCCTCCTCCTCCTCCTCCTCCTCCTCCTCCTCCTCCTCCTCCTCCTCCTCCTCCTCCTCCTCCTCCTCCTCCTCTCCCTCTCCCTTTCCGGGGCGGGAATTTATCCATTTCCACCGCCTGGAGAGTCAGTTTTCGGAGCCTCGGCAGGCGGTGGATGTGGATATATTCGGGCCCCCCGGGGCCGAAATATAGCCATATCCACCGCGCTGGGGCACCAGGACGTCGGTTCCCAGGCGGTGGATATGGATACATCCCCGCCTCGCACCCTTGTCCTCCTCCTCCTCCTCCTCCTCCTCCTCCTTCTCCTCCTCCTCCTCCTCCCCTCCTCCTCGTCATCTTCCTCCCGTCGCTCCCGCAGGGGCTCCAGAGATGCCCGAAGGGGCCCTCTTCAGGAGGGGAGCGAAGAGTGAGCGGGGAAGGGGTGGGGCGGAAGGGACCAGACATGGCAACGCTTCTGATGTAGGGATGACGATGTTTGTGGTGATTCCGATGGTGATGTCGATGATGAGCACGACGGTGCGAACAAATGCGATGATATCGGCATGGATTCCCAACAGTGCCTCCGTGCACTCTCGGGGTGCAACGTGTGGGTGCGCAGGTCACGGTGTCATGGGGTGGGACCTATAGGGGGTTGGCTCACATGGGATGCAATCATATGTAATGGACCCAACTGGGTGGGACTCCACGACGTGGGAGCTTACGGAGTGTGACGCTGCGGGTGGAGCACTGTCTTGTGGGACGCTATGGGGTGGACGGAACATATTGGGTGGGAGCATACGGGGTGAGACCGGATTGGTTGGGTTACATTAGCATGGGGCTTTGTCACGAGAGCACTAATATAATGTTGGGTTTGAAATCGGTTGTGGATGCAGGGGGCGCAACTAGAATTATTTCGTATCCACGGTAGAAATAATGATCATTAGGATGATGAGTCGGATGAGGAAGTGGACGGATAATATCATGTGGACGAGGATGAGGAGGAGGAGGAGGAGGAGGAGGAGGAGGAGGAGGAGGAGGAGGAGGAGGAGGAGGAGGAGGAGGAGGAGGAGGAGAGGAGGAAGGAGGAGGGGGAGGAGGGGGGAGGGGAGGAAGAGGAGTCGTGATGATATGGTGAATGAGTGGAGGATAACTGCTCGGAGGAGGGGGAGCAGGAGGAGGAGGAGGAGGAGCAGGATAATTAGGGAGGAGCCCCGTTCCCAGGTGACCGCCAGCTCCGAGGAGGGCGATTTCCTGAGGCCTCCGAGGGGATGCGGCCGCGCTTCCTTGCTGGGCAAGGGGGCTCTGGGGCAGAACCAGACGCAGCCCCGGGAAGGTCAGATGAGGGAGGGAGCCGGCGACATTCAGAGTGACCTTTCGGGGGGCGCGGGGGGAGGGGGGGAAGGGCAAATTTCAGCGCGCAAGTCTTATTGTGGCCGCGTCGCTGAGCCGCGCACCAAATGTCATCACTCTTGCCGGTCATTCTTCCGTGCAGCCGAGGGAAGGTGGGAGGGGATGCGGGGATGCGGGTGATAGCAATTGATCCCCGGAGTTTGTGGGATCTCTAAGGGCCCAGATTCGAACCACCAGGGTTCCTTGCAACTTGTGTCCCCTCTTCGTGGGGGCACTACAGGAGGCGTGCCCGCTAAGACTGCCCGCTACAGACATCGCTGCCTCGCCGCTTTCTCTCTGCTGTTGCTTCTCGTCTTACACGCCGATCGGGATTCAGACTCATTCCCTTAGTCGCCGACCGACCGCCGACAGAGGAGGAGGAGGAGGAGGAGGAGGAGGAGGAGGAGGAGGAGGAGAAAAGGAGAGGAGGAGGAGGAGGAGGAGGAGGAGGAGGAGAGGAGGAGAGGAGGAGGAGGAGGAGGAGGGGGAGGAGGGGGAGGAGGAGGAGGAGGAGGAGGAGGAGGAGAGGAGGAGGAGGGAGGAGGAGGAGGAGGAGGCGGAGGAGGAGGAGGAGGAGGAGGAGGAGACGAGCGAGGAGGGAGGGAGGCGGAGGAGAGGAGGAGGTGGAGGAGGAGAGGAGGAGGAGGGAGAGATGAGGAGGAGGAGGAGGAGGAAGAAGAGGGGATGGTGAAGGAGGAGGAGGAGGCGGAGGAGCAGGAGGAGGGAGGAGGGAGAGAGGAGGAGAGGGAGGGAGGGAGGAGAATGGAGGGGGAAGGAGGGAGGAAGGAGGGAGGAGGAGAGGAGGCGGAGGAGGAGGAGGAGGAGGAGGAGAGGAGGAGGAGGAGCGAGGAGCGAAGGAGCGAGGAGCGAGGAGGAGGAGCGGAGGAGGAGGCGGAGGAGGAGGGAGGAGGAGGAGGAGGAGGAGGAGGAGAGGAGGAGGAGGAGGAGGAGGAGGAGGAGGAGGAGGAGGAGCGAGGAGGGAGCGAGGAGGTGGAGGAGGAGGAGGAGGAGGATCTCCCTCATCATTCCGTCCCCTTCCTCGGGAGAGGGCACGCCGCAGCGGGCCCAGCGGGCGCTCCCGCGCCGCGCGGCCCCTGGTGGCGGCGGCTCGGCGAGGCCGATCTGGCCGAAGGGCGGCGAGACCGAGGCCATTTGGAAGGCGCGCCGCGGGCCCTTCGTGGCTGCAGGAAGGGAGCGTCGGGGCGAGAAGGAGCGAGGAGGGGCCAGGAGGAGCCAGGAGGAGCCAGGAGGAGCGAGGAGGAGGAGGAGGAGGAGGAGGAGGAGGAGGAGGAGGAGGAGGAGGAGGAGGAGGAGGAGGGAGGAGGAGGAAGAGGTGGAGGTGGAAGAGGAGGAGGGAGGAGGAGGAGGAGGCGGAGGTGGAAGAGGAGGGGGTGGAGGAGGAGGTGGAGGTGGAAGAGGAGGGGGTGGAGGAGGAGGAGGAGGAGGAGGAGGAGGAGGAGGAGAAGGCGGAGGAAGAGGAGGAGCGTCGCACCCCAGCTCCAGCCCCAGCCCCAGCTCCAGCTCCAGCTCCAGTTCCAGCCTGGTTCTTCCTCGATGTTGAGCTCCAAATTCGCTAAAGCCCATCCCCAGCTTCATCCCCAGATCCCAGCTTCAACCCCAGACGAAGCTTCAGCTCCAGCTTCGCCCCAGCTCCAGGGAGCCCCAACTCCAGGTCCAGCTCCGGGTCTAGCTCCTGCTCAAGCCCAGCTCCAGCTCCGCTCCAGCCCCAGAGCCAGCTCCAGCCCAGGTTCAGAATCAGCTCAGGTCCAGCCGAACCCCAGCTCCGGCTCAGCTCTAGCTCGAGCTCCAGCCTTGCGTTCTCTTTAGTAGCATATTAGTCAGTCTGACGATGTTTGCTGTCCAAGTTCCTTTTCTACGGTGCATGTCCAAGACTCGCCGCTGATATGGCCCTGGGTAGATCGAGTAACTCAGATGCCAGATGGCACATTGCACATACCAGCATGCGCTCTCCACGGCAACACGTCACACAGCAACGCTTGCGAACTACACGTTGGGTAGGGCACAGTGCAAATTATACTTCGGGTGTTCTCCACTACAGCTGTTACATCAAGGGTCGACCTCAACGATGTTTTGGCGATTTCGTTGGCCGTTTTCGTTTCGACTTCGTTTTGCAGCAAAGGCGGATTGGAGGCAAAACGAGGGACAGCGAAAACCAAACGAACACGAAAAGCATTGTTTCGGTCGAGGCCTGTTCCACATATTCACATGTTGGCCAGGATCTGTTGAGTTTTCAAAGGTCATGGTTCGGGTTATTTAAGGGTTAATTCCGTTGCACATGCTTCATAATAATGGCTTGCATTGCATTGTCATCGCCGCTACGTTGTTGTATTCCTTGGCCAATCTACACTACCTTACGTCACTTGTTGTTGAATGTGCATGGGTTTACCCTTGTTGGCAATGCGACTCGACTCAGTCCACGTTCAACACTATTTCAACTCGCGTTTGAGCCTTTTTGAGTATGTGTATGTGCGTGCGTGCATGTGTGCGCTTGCCAGGGGAGGACTTTCTAGAACCTAAACGGTGTCTGTATGTTGTGTGCTTTCTAGTGTATGTTTGTTTGTGTGTAAATGTATAGGTGGTGTCATATGCATCTTCCGACGGAGTGGAGCTCAGAAGCGGTTATTGTGCCGTCCGCGATTAAACTGGCCGTTTCGCCTTGGAGATCTTCGACATTTCTGACACACCCCTCTCACGCAGATCGCGACGTCAGGGTCAAGTCACAAAGTGAGTTCAAGCATCGAAACCTGAAGCCATCAAGGCACAAGGGGTTTCAAATAGTTTTGCACGCTTGCCAACACGCTATTGGTGTGTTCCAGTGGTTGCCCGTGTGGCTCTTTAGCTTATTCGAACAACACCTTCAACCTTCAACTGCACAATGGAATTCAGTGTTCTTGCACATGACTGTTGGGCAATACTTAGTGTGGCCTTGGTGCCCAGTGGAAATGTCCAACTTTGCTGTATAATGTGTGATCTTCATGCCCATAGGGTTGCTGCGCAACAGTTCGTCAAATCGCAAGCTACGGCAACCCCATCTCTGACCCCCCCCATTGCTAGTTGTATGAGCCTGGGCGTATGTATTAGCTAATGGCCTTCGGCCCATCCTGCCACCGTGCCTGGGTTGTGGGTATGAAGCCTATTGGATGCTCCTTGGGATCTCGTGGGAGTCTTCTCGGGGGCCTCTTGGAGGCAGTTTGGAAAGCTTTGGTTGGGGGCCGTTTTGGGGCCGCTTGGGGCCTCGTTTGGACCTCTTGGTGGCCTCGTGGGGCCTCTTGGGCGCATTTTGGACGCCTCTTGGAGCCTCTTGGGCGCCTCTTAGGGTCTCCTGGGGGCTTCTTGGGGCGGAAGGCTGAGATGTTCGGTTCGTTTTCCCTCTCTTGGGCCCCTTTTGGGGCCGTCTTGGGGCCCTCTTGGGCCGTCGTGGGCGCTTCTTGGGCCGCTTTGGGGCGCTCTTAGGCCGTCTTGGAGCCCTCTTGGAGGCCTCTTGGGCCGTCCTGGGGTGGTCTTGGGGGCTTCTTGGGCCGTCGTCGAGCGTCGAGAAACAGAAGAGGCGAGAACGCCAAAATCTTTCAAAAACATCGAGGCAACATGTGATCTGCGCCTCTTGGGGCCCTCTCGGGAGGCCTCTTGGAGGCTTCTTGGAGCGTCTTCAATGCCTCTTGGGCCATCTTGAGGCCATCTCGGGCGTCTTGGAACGGTCTTTCGGCGACTCGGGGCCCTCGGCTGCCCCTGGGCCAAGAGGATCGGACGATCGTGTGGGCGAAATTTGGGGTTGGAAAGGGTGGGGGGGAATGGTACTCCAAATTTCGTAATAAAAGGAATTGGGTCTGGACCCTCCAAGACAAGCCATTTCAGACCCACCCCCCGTGGGAGAACCCTCCAAAACATCGTCCCCAGACCCCCCCAGGCCCTCCAAGATAGCCTGGAAGAGACCCCCCCCGAAATGAGACCCCCCTCCCTTTATTACGAAATCTGGAGTAACTACTGCATGTAGCTGGCTTGACCTCGCGCCAGGCACTCTCCTCGGCGTATGGCTGCCTTTGCCGTTGGGGGCACAGGGTGGTGCCAGGAGAACCAGCTACATGCAGCCCATCCCCTGCACCCCCCCCCTTACCACCCACCCATTCGTTTTCCCCGGGAGGAGGAGGAGGAGGAGGCGGCGGAGGAGGAGGAGGAGGAGGAGGAGGAGGAGGAGGAGGAGGAGAGGATGCGGAGGAGGAAAGGGCGAGAGGGGGAGGAGGGGAACCAGGCTGTTTCACTAGTTACGCCTCGTGGTGTCCCGCATCAGGCTGAGTGCACGCGGACTGGCCTGTTCCCGACCTGCCGCTTCTCGGGCGCCCCCACACGGTGTGGTGACCACACCGTGGGGTGGAGTCAGTGGGGATTCTGATTACCGCAAGGCTTTGGGACTCGGATGGTTCTCCGAAGACGTCTTGGGCGGCCGGGGCCTCCTGGGTCCAAAGACTGCGCGGTGACGGACCGTGCGGCGAGGAGTCTTCCGATGTCGCCACGCGATCCGTCACCACACGGTCTTGGAGCCCCCAGCTTCTCGTGCCGTTTTCTTACTCATTGTTCTGCCGATCGGCGCGGGCCCTCGTACCCCCCCTCCCGCCCCCATGGAGTGGATCTTGGCTGCTTTTGGCGCCTGTGTCAGGCACGCGGAGTCTCCCCCACAGGGCGCACCGTTGGAAAGAGTCGCGTTGAGCAGAGGCCCGGAGCCGGTCCCCCCTCCCCTCCCCCCCCCCCCTTCCGCCCGATGTCGAAGCGCCGAATGAGAGAACGTGGACCTCCCCATCGTCAGCCCCGTCCATCGCAGGCCTAGAGGTTGACACCAACACCAATATCGGCGGTGTGCCTCCACCGAGGGAAGAAAATCTCGATCTCGGTGATGGTGGTAATATTCTGGCTTCCAAGGCGACCGAAACATTACCACCGACACCGAAATCGAGGATCATCTTCCCCCTGTGGAGGCAGCCCCCTGTGTTGGTGGTGGTGCCAATTTCCAGGCCTCCAAGTCCAGCCGCTGCTCCTGCCGCTCCTCCTGCTCAGGGAGGGTGACCCCCCCCCTTGGCATCGCTCGGACGTGTGCATTTTTCCTTCGGCGAGGACCATCGATGAGCACCCTTGATAATTTTGCGAAAAAGCCACGTACGAAACCAAAAAAGCACATGGAATGGACGTCCGAGCGATGGCCATTCCCCGAGCGGCTGCCCCCGAGGAGGAGGAGGATGAAGAGGAGGAGGAGGAGGAGGAGGAGGAAGAGGAGTAGGAGGAGGATAAGGAGCAGCATCAGCAGCAGCAGCAGCAGCAGCAGAAGAAGAGGTGAGGAGGAGGAGGGGGAGGAGGACGAGGAAGAAGAGGAACAGGAGCAGGAGGAGGGTGACCCCCCCCCCGAGCGGCTGCCGCGAGGCGCGCGTGGTGGAGAGCATGCGCGGCACGGCCGGCCTCCGCGAGCCAGGGCCTCGGGGAGCCGCCGCCGCTGGCGGAGTGGGCGCGGGGCGCTCCGCGGACTCCGAGCGTTCTGGGAGGTGTGAAGGGTTTGGGATCCCACCCAGAGGAAAAGGAGGAGGAGGAGGAGGAGGAGGAGGAGGGGGAGGAGGACGAGGACGAGGAGGAGGACGAGGGGGACGAGGAGGAGGAGGAGGAGGACGAGGAGGAGGAGGAGGAGGCTCCCGCCCGTCTCGCCTGCCTGCTTCGTCGCCGCTGGCGGAGCGGGCACGAGGTGCTCGGCGGGCCGGCCTCGGGCCGGCATGAAGGTCTGTATCATGGAGCACAGAAGATACCCTGACCCGAATGGCACGATGAAGACGTGGCCTCACTGAGGTCCCCGTCTTCGCATGAAGCATGATGATTCTGGGCGGCTTGGTCTGGCGCATCTGCAGACGAGGCCCCTTATCCCTACTGTCGTTGGCCCTCCTACCGTAGGTCCCCTCCCAGAGGGTTTCGGGTCCCGCCCTTCCCGCCCGCCTGCTTCGGCCCGCCGGCCCTGGCCTCCCGGTCTCCCGCCTGCACGCCCTCCGCCGCCGCGCAGCACAGGCTGCTGGGAGCAGGCCGCGCCGGCGCGAGCACCACACTGGCCCGATGCCTATCTGACCGGCCTCTCTGGCCGACGTGAAGGTTTTTCTGGGGCCCAGGAGGGGAAGATCGTCTTGCGGCGTGGCCCAAAGCTCAGACCTCGCCGCCTCCTCGGCGTCGCCAAACGTGAAGCCGCCGCTGCTTCCAGGGCCCCAGGAGCGTCAGTCCGGTGCAGCGGCTTGCCCTGGGCACCGGGGTGCCGCTTTTCACTGGGTTGGTGGTGGTGCTGCGCGTTGCGCATGCGCTTCACGCTTCGCCCGGGTATCCAACATCGCGTGCCGCGTGTCTCTGGCTTCCAGCTTGGGGCCGCAGCGGCACCAGACACCACGCGAGGCCACTGGGCATTGCGGGGCACCGCTGCGGCATTTGTCTTTCAGAGCTTGAATTAACTCGGGCCTGTCCCTCTACAGGGGGGATGTTCAAACATAGTCAAAAAATAGCCTGGGGACTATGTTTGAGTATTTTGGGGCATCTTTTGAGCATTTTCTGGATATCTTTTTCATTTTCCGTCGAAGCTCCCCCTGTAGAGGGGGACAGGCCCGACCTCAAGCTGGAACGAGCTCATCGCCGGGAGGACGGCGGGCCCCAGCTTCCAAGAGCTCGAGCTTTCCTGCTCTCCGCGGCAGCCTGCAGGCTGCACTTTTTTGGGGTCGCCCGGTTCGCTCGGGCCGTCGCCGTCGTCGGTCGGTCGTGGGCTCGGCCGCGCCGTGGGGCCCCCCGCCGTCGGCTCTCCGTCGGGGGAGGGAAAGATGCGGACACGTGTTGTCCCCCTTCGTTTTCGGCCTCTCCTGGTCCTCCTGGGGAATCCTCGTTGTCACCGCTGGACTCGCCTCGAAAGTCTGGTCAGGACGCACCCCAAGAGAGGTCCGGGGACAACACGTACTGTATCCGTATCTTTCCGCCCCCCAATCTGCCCCTGCCTGCTCCGCCCCCATCCCCCCCTTGCCTTATGATGCTCCAACCTACTGTAGCCTTGATCACCAGAAGCAATTTCGAGCGCCAAAAAAGTACCGAAACTCGAGGGTTTTCACGTGTCGGGCCCTGGGAGACACTCGCCCGACACTGTTTCGACACTCTTTTGACACTTGTTCGGGTGCTCGAAATTGTTTCTGGGATGCGGTCCTCAAGTAGGATGGGAACAACATAACCTTTGCCCCCCCCTCCTATCCTGGTCGTCCCCCACCGCGGGGGGGTGCCCCGCTCCTGCGTGCGCGCGGTGGCGGTCTTTGCCAGCGTGGTGCGCCTCTATCAAGCCCTCGTTCCTCCTTCCTCCTCATTTTTTCCTTCTCTACGGGACGGCCCTGGTCGATTTGGTGGCGACCTTGACGTCGGTGCGTGCAGTGCACCTCGCGTCTTCACCGTGCTGCTCGAACGGCACCGTGCCAATCTGTTTTGGCCGGACTGCAGTCTTCTTCTTTCGGCCAGCCTGGACGTGTCATACACATCGGCCTTTCTTGGTGGCTTGTCTATCCACCAAGGACTTTACGGCACGGCGATTCTGGCTGGTTCAGGCCCCGCGTGTGCGTGTTCTTCGTGTGCTGCGTTCCGTCACCACCAATAGATGTTGTCTTAGCGTCGGGTCCGCCATTGTAGTGCTGCCGCGGCCTGAAGGTCTAGCACTCCATCCACTAATGCTGTATCTTGTGTCGCCGGCTCGTACGGGAGACCTTACTTCCGTCTTGCCAGGCCATAGCTTTCAGCGTTGCCCCACCAATCGGCTGGTCTGGGAGCTTTGCAGATTGTAATTTGCACCCACGTTTCAGGCTGCCTTAAGTCGAGCCATCGTGCTCTTTGGGTTCTGGCCGCTGCACGCTCTTTGGGTCATCATCTGTCGGTGATTATTGGCGCTAATTTGCACCGGACTGCTCGCGCTTCAGTTCACCTTGAGTCGAGTTCGCTCTGCCCACTCCTCGGGTTCTGGCCGCTGCACGCTTTGGTGTTCACCCTCCCATCACTACACCACCCATTCTCTGCTATTCGTCTTTCACCACCTTTCTGCATGGCCGTGTCTGGGCTTTTCCATCATGGCGCGTTCGATTAAGCTTGTTCGCAATTGGCACCTCCACCTGCCGACCGCGCCTGAGGTCCCTCTGCGCCGCCGACTCAAAACGTGCTGAAAGGTGTGGGCGGCCCCGGCCCGCGCCTTCCCTCCTGGCTTGACTACGCCGCCCCGCCGCGCGCGTAGCCGCGACGCCAAACATGTGTATACGCGTGTGTGTGTGTGTATGTTTGTGTGTGGTTGTGTTTGCGTGCGTGCGTGCGTGCGTGCGTGGGTGTATGTGTGTGTGTGTGCGTGTGTGTGTGTGTGTGTGTGTGTGTGTGTGTGTGTGTGTGTGTGTGTGCGTGTGTGTCTGTGTGTGAGCGTGTGTGTGTGTGTGTGTGTGCGTGTATGTGTGTGTGTGTGTGCGTGTGCGCGTGCATGTGCGTGCGTGCGTGCGTGCGTGCGCGCGCGTTTGTGTTTGTGTATGTGTGTGTGTGTGTCTGTGTTTGTGTGTGCGCGTGCATGTGTGTGTGTGTGCGTGAATGTGTGGTGTGTGTGTGTGGTTGTATTTGTGTGCGTGTGTGCGCGTGCGTGCGTGCGTGCGTGCGTGCGCACGTGTGTGTGTGTGGACACATGGTTGGACCCAATCGGAAGCAGGCAGGACCCAGAGGACATCACGCTTCCCTCGTCATTCAGAGCATCTTCCGCCTGCCCGCACAACTGACGAACCGTGCGCTCACGATGCGCACAGCACTGCGCGGTCGCGCGCGCACGCAGGCGAAGGTGGGGCCACAGCGCGCCCCCTTGGACGCTGGAGGAACCACTGCTTGAGGCGGCGGGTTCTCGCACGCATGCCTCCGCGAGAAAGCAGTACCGCGGATTGGCGCGTGCGTCGTTCACGCCCGTACCTCCGCAGCCCGTGTGTGTGTGTGTGCAGTGGGTTGAGCCACGTGACTCTGCAAGTCTAGCCTGCCGGCGAGGTTCCCCCCCCCCCCGGGATGGGTGCTATCCTGCCGACGCGGTGCGGCAGTGCTCGTCAGCAGGGCCCCTGCTTGCGGCCCCCTGAGGTCCGTCCTGCTGCTTCACATCGCCCGAGACACGCGCGACCTGATCATCCTAGGCGAGCTTTTGGTGCTGGATGGAGATCCGATGATCGGCTTCTCGGGGGCAGGCAGGAGGCGGACGGAGGATTGAGGAAGGAGGGAGACGCGGCGTTCACGCCTGGTTGAGTTTGATGCGGCTTGCCCAGCCGTGTTCAGAATGGTAGCGTTGTCTGTTCCATTTATTCTCCAGCTGCCTGCGGCGACGTTCACGCCTGGCTGAGTTTGATGCGGCTTGCCCAACCGTGTGTGTTCATAATGGTAGCGTTGTCTGTTCCATTTATTTAATCGCTTCGCTCATTCCGCCGGCCCGTATTGTGCCATCGCAGGCGTTTGCTTGCGCGTTCGTGGCCTCTTGGAGCCTCGGTGGGGCCGTTTGGGGGCTCTTGGCGCCTCTTTTTAGGCCTCTTGGAGAACTCGGGAGGCCTCCAGGGGGCCTCCTGAGCTCTCGTGACGGTCTCTTGGGGGGCTTTCGGCGGGCTCTTGGCGGTATTTGTTGGTCCTCTTGGGGGCTGGGGCCTGACGTTGTTGGTCCTCTTGGGGCCTCACGGGAGCTTATTGGGGCGTCTTGGGGGTGTCTTGGAGAGTCTCTTGGGGCCTCTTTCGGGGTCCTGGGCGCCTTCTGGGGCGGAGGGCTCGATTTTTCAGTTCTCGGTTCCCTTCTTGAGCCCCTCTTGGGCCCGTCTTGGGGCCTCTTGGTCCGCCGTGGGCAGCACTTGGGCCGTCTGGGGGGCGCTCTTGGGCCGCTCCGGGGCCGTCTTGGGAGCCTCGTGGGCCGTCTTGGAGCAGTCTTGAAGGCCTCTTGGGCCCTCTTGGAGCGTCCGGAAGCGAAAAGGCCAGAACGCAAAAAAACATAGAAAAAACCAATGAAAATCAACGATTTTGGCAACTTGGGGCCCTCTTCGGAGGCCTCTTGGAAGGCCCTTGGAGCGTCTTGGAGGCATCTTGGGCTGTCTTGGGGCCATCTGGGGCGTCTTCGGGCGATCTTTGGCCGTCTCGGGCCTCTCTTGGACCGTCTAGAAAGCTTCTCGGGGCCCTCTTGGACCGATCTGGAGCCCTCTTGGACTCCGAAACAGAACTCCGGCATCTCTGACCCGACTTTGCCGGGACCTAGCCGGGGACTTGCCGGGACCTTGCCGGGGTACTTTTCGTCCGGGGACCCCCAGGGGCCGCCCCGCGCGCGCGAACTAGAAATACTGTTAACCAGGTACCGGAGATCTTAGCACGCCCTGGCCCGTTGGGCCGGCGAATTCTCCAGCTGCCTGCGGCGACGTTCACGCCTGGTTGAGTTTGATGCAGCTTGCCCAGCCGTGTTCATAATGGTAGCGTTGTCTGTTCCATGCATTCTCCAGCTGCCTGCGGCAAGCCCCGCCACCGTACCTGTGCTCCGGAATGGGGTTTCCAAAGGACCGCTCAAGCTCCGTCAAGGTGCTGAGTTGGATCGGGTGTTGAACACCTCCTCCTTGTGTGCAGCATCGTTGTCGTTGTTGGTCGTCCGCGTTTCTCGTCATCCTCCTCCGCCTGCTCTGCCCTTTCTCTTCAATACACTTTGCTTGGAGGCTCCTCTGGGGCTTATTGAGGGCCTCTCGGGGACCTCTTAGAGCTGTTCAGGGAGGGGCCTCGCATGGTCTGTTGAGGAGCTCCTGGTGGCCTCTCAGGGACTTCTCGGGAACCTCTTGGGGCTTCTCGTGGAAGTCTCGGGGCCCGTAGGGTGCTCCTCGTGGGCACGTTGGGGGTCTTGGAGGCCATCGTGGCGGGACAGGCGCTCGATGCCAGCTTGACTTCCCCCTTTGGGGGGGGCTCCTGAGCGGTTTTTTGAAGCCTCTTGAACAGTTTTGAGGCCCTCGTGGGCCGTCTTAGGACCCCTTCCGGTTACCTTGGAGCTCTCCCTGTTGGGCTGCCTTGCTGGTCACCGTTTGAACCGTGCTGAGCTTTCAGAGGCCTTCACGGAAGCATCTGTCAGCAGCTTAGGGCAGAATTAATATGTTTGTTTCTCGAGAGCATCTTGGGCATCCTGTCGGAGCCCTCTTAAGACGTATTGGCGGCCTCGTGGGCCGTCTCAAGGCCATCTTGGATCATCTTGAGGCCCTCTTGACCCGTCTCGAGGCATGTTTGAGCAGTCTTGGGATCGTCTTGAGACCGTCTTTGGGGCCTTTTGGAGCCCCCGTGGGGCGACATTGGCTGTCTTGGGGCTCTTTGTGGCTCTCTTGGGGCTGCTTATGGCTGTCTTGGGGCCGTCTGGAGGCCCGAGCGCTGGAGAGCAACTTCAGGGGGGGAGGGGCGATGCTCGGGAGATGCCTGTGAGCAGGGAGGGAAACGGCATTTTCAAAACTCAGAAGAAACCTTACTACGAGGCTTGTAGTACAAGCCTCGTCAAAGAATACCCTGGCGAAAGACCCAACCATATGCAGTTGTGAGTTCCGCAATTGTGAATATCTTCTTCAGTAGCGCTCCCTATGGGGTCACGAAACGCTGTACTTGGTGGGCGAAACGCAGGGAGCAAGGGCCGTGTTGGGTGGTGGCGGATGCATGCGGGCGGTGCCACTGGGACCTTCGGTGGAGCCCCCATATGGGGCCACGAAACGCTGTACTGGGTGGGCGAAGCGCAGGGAGCAAGGGCTGTGCTGGGTGGTGGCGGACGCATGCGGGCGGTGCCACTGGGACCTTCGGTGGAGCCCCCATATGGGGCGACGAAACGTTGTACTGGGTGGGTGAAACGAAGTGAGCAATGGCTGTACTGGGTGGTGGCGGACGCATGCGGGCGGTGCCACTGGGACCTTCGGTGGAGCCCCCTTATGGGGCCACGAAACGCTGTACTGGGTGGGTGAAACGCAGGGAGCAAGGGCCGTGCTGGGTGGTGGCGGACGCATGTGGGCGGTGCCACTGAGACCTTCGGTGGAGCCCCCTTATGGGGCCATGAAACGTTGTACTGGGTGGGTGAAACGCAGGGAGCAATGGCTGTACTGGGTGGTGGCGGGCGCATGCGGGCGGTGCCACTGGGACCGTCGGTGGAGCTCCCTATGGGGCCACGAAGCGCTGTGCTGGGTGGGTGAAACGAGGAGGGGGAAGAGGAGGAGAAGAGGAGAGGAACGCGGGGACCGTTTCTTCAAAACGAGGACCCAACACCACAGGATGGTTGGGAATAAACAGAAGACTTCTGAATTCGGTGATTGTGGGGTCAGCGCTACTCCAATGCTGACGGATGCGTTTTGACTCGGACGCGGTGTTGTCCAAAAACCGGCCCCACCCTCTCAGCATTGAAGAACGCGCTTTCTGACAAGTGCCCGAAAGCATCGTGCTCCTGGATTTCAACTTCCATGTCTGGATATTTACCTAACAGCGAAGACTGATAGGTTTCTAATGGTGTAAAAAGAGAGCAGCAGATGACTCCACAGGGGGGTCTGGGCAGCCGTTGGGGAGCCGTTGGGGGGCCGTTGGGGGGCCGTTGGGGATTGCCGGGGAACCTCGCTCTTCGCAAACAGTCACACACTTCGTGCTCTTCGACCTCCCAGAACTCCATTCTTCGACCTCCCAGAACTCCATTCCCGGGCCACATTCTGAATGCCCGGAGCCAACTGTAGGCCACTTCGTGGTCTTCGAGTTCCCAGAACTCCATTCCCGGCCACATTTTGGATGCCCGGAGCCAACTGTAGGCCACTTCGTGGTCTTCGAGTTCCCAGAACTCCATTCCCGGGCCACATTTTGGATGCCCGGAGGCCACTTCGTGGTCTTCGAGTTCCCAGAATTCCATTCCCGGGCCACATTTTGGATGCCCGGAGCCAACTGTAGGCCACTTCGTGCTCTTGGACTTCCCAGAACTCCATTCCTAGGTATGATTTTGAATGCCCGGAGCAAACTGTAGGCCACTTCGTGTTCTTCGAGTTCCCAGAATTCCACTCCCTGGCCACATTTTGAATGCTGAGGCAGGCTGATGCTGAGGCTGAGGCTGAGGCTGAGGCAGGCTGAGGCTGAGGCCGAAGCTGAAGGCAGACTGAGGCTGAGGCTGAAGGCTGAGGCTGAAGCAGGCTGAGGCTGAGGCTGATGAGGCTGAGGCTGAGGCAGGCTGAGGCAGGCTGAGGCTGAGGCTGAGGCTGATGCAGGCTGAGGCTGAGGCAGGCTGAGGCTGAAGCCGAGGCTGAAGGCAGCTGAGGCTGAGGCTGAAGCAGGCTGAGGCTGCAGGCTGAGGCTGAGGCAGGCTGATGCTGAGGCAGGCTGAGGCTGAGGCTGATGCAGGCTGAGGCTGAGCAGCTGAGGCTGAGGCTGAAGCAGGCTGAGGCTGAGGCTGAGGCTGAGGCTGAGGCTGAGGCTGAGGCAGGCTGAGGCTGAGGCAGGATGCTGAGGCTGCAGGCTGAGACTGAAGCCGAGGCTGAACGAAGGCCTGAGGCCGAGGCTGAGGCAGGCTGAGGCTGAGGCTGAGGCAGGAGGCTGAGGCAGGCTGAGGCTGAGGCTGAGGCTGCAGGCAGGCTGAGGCTGAGGCTGAGGCAGGCTGAGGCTGAGGCTGAGGCTGAGGCAGGCTGATGCTGAGGCAGGCTGAGGCTGAGGCTGAGGCTGATGCAGGCTGAGGCTGAGGCAGGCTGAGACTGAAGCCGAGGCTGAAGGCAGACTGAGGCTGAGGCTGAGGCTGAGGCTGAGGCTGAGGCAGGCTGAGGCTGAGGCTGAGGCAGGCTGATGCTGAGGCAGGCTGAGGCTGAGGCTGATGCAGGCTGAGGCTGAGGAGGCTGAGGCAGGCCGAGGCCGAGGCTGAAGGCAGACTGAGGCTGAGGCTGAAGCAGGCTGAGGCTGAGGCTGAGGCAGGCTGAGGCTGAGGCTGAGGCTGAGGCTGAAGCAGGCTGAGGCTGAGGCTGAGGCAGGCTGAGGCTGAGGCTGAGGCAGGCTGATGCTGAGCCAGGCTGAGGCTGAGGCTGAGGCTGAAGCAGGCTGAGGCTGAGGCTGAGGCCGAGGCTGAAGGCAGACTGAGGCTGAGGCTGAAGCAGGCTGAGGCTGAGGCTGAGGCAGGCTGAGGCTGAGGCTGAGGCAGGCTGATGCTGAGGCAGGCTGAGGCTGAGGCTGAGGCTGATGCAGGCTGAGGCTGAGGCAGGCTGAGGCTGAGGCCGAGGCTGAAGGCAGACTGAGGCTGAGGCTGAAGGCAGGCTGAGGCTGAGGCTGAGGCTGAGGCTGAGGCAGGCTGATGCTGAGGCAGGCTGAGGCTGAGGCTGAGGCTGATGCAGGCTGAGGCTGAGGCAGGCTGAGGCTGAGGCCGAGGCTGAAGGCAGAGGCTGAGGCTGAGGCTGAGGCTGAGGAAGGCTGAGGCTGAGGCTGAGGCTGAGGCTGAGGCTGGCTGGCTGATGCTGAGGCAGGCTGAGGCTGAGGCTGAGGCTGAGGCAGGCTCAGGCTGAGGCAGGCTGAGGCTGAGGCCGAGGCTGCAGGCAGACTGAGGCTGATACAGAAGCAGGCTGAGGCTGAGGCTGAGGCAGGCTGAGCTGAGGCTGAGGCTGAGGCTGAGGCTGAGGCTAATGCAGGCCACTGCGACTGTCATCGCGAATGCGACTACGACTGCGAGAACAGCAGAACTCTACAACTGGATTCTCATCTGAATCTTAAGGGGGATGCTTCCAGATATGCTCCTACACATCGCTGTTAGGTTGCTTTGCCGGGATAATTTTGACGAGGCTTGTAGGCAGCAGACGCGCATTTTAACACGCCCCCTCCGTGCAGGCACGGTTGCGGATCTGAAAGGCTTCGCCCTCTGCCGCCGGCCCCCCTGATGTTGTTTGCATGGGCGACCTTGATCGCACGGTTGTATTGCTGTCATACGGGTTGGCAGGCTGGCCACTCGGCTGCTTGGCTTGCTGTCTAAATTCGTGGTTGTCAGTTGGCTTACGCTGTTTGCTGGTTGGCTGCCTGCGCACGTTTGTAGTAACCATTGAGGGATTGTTTAGTAGTCTGCGAGGCATGGTTGCCTCGGGAGCGCGCGTGTCGTAGTGGATTGTGGCCTCGGTGCGCAACTGTGTTGTGATGTGCAAAGGTGTGTGGCCTCAGGAGCGCGGCCACGACGTAATTATAGGACGCTTCGCGTAACCCGGCCGGCACAGCCGAAAACGATGCCCAGGCGAGTTGACCTGATCGGGGATGCGGATGAGCATGCAGTGGAATGAAGGGCTGGGGAACCGTCATATCCCAAGAGGGGGAGGATGGAGGAGGGAGGAGCGAGAAGGAGGAGGACTAGGCATACGAGGAGGAGGAGGAGGAGGAGGAGGAGGAGGAGGAGGGCGAGCAGATGGGCCAGAGGCCTCTTGGAGTCTTGGGGCGGCTTCGGGGTCTCTCGGCAGTCCCCAGGGCCTCGTCGGGTCTTTTGGATGCCTTTTGGATGCCTTTTGGGGTCGCTTGGGCGCCTCTTGGGGCCATCTTGGGGCCTTGTTTGGGCCGTCTTGGGAGCCTTGGAGACCTTCTCGGGATCATCAAGGAGGATTTCGATCAAAGAGGGGAGTCCTTAATTGCCCCGCCCCAGTGGATCTCCCAACGTCGCCTCTTGGGGCCCTCTCGTGGCGCTCTTGGGGCGCTCGCTAATAGGGCCGCATTGGGCCATCTTGGGCCTCTCTTGGGGCCCTCTTGGGCTCTCTAGGGGCCATCTTGAGGCCACGTGAGCCCAGCGAACGCCCGAGTAGGCCACAATCATTGAGCTCCCTTCGGTTGTGGACGGATGTTGGCCTCGTGGGGGCTTCCTTGGGAGTCTCCGCGGCCACTTGGAGCCATCTTGGGGCCTCTTGGAGGCATCTTGGCGGCCATCTTGAGCCAGCTTCCACTATCTTGCGCCATCTTGGAGGCCATCTGAACGCATCTGGGGTCCTCTCAGGGCCCTCTTGGGGCAAGGGCCTCTCAGCGGTACCCCCGAACAGCCAAAATCCGTCAAAGCCCGTGTGTGTTGAATGGTTGTGTTGATCAACGAAGGGGGCAGTCAATTAGGGTCGCCCCTCTGGTGCTCTTTGCGCCCTTCTGGGGCGCTCTTGTGGCGCTCTTGGGGCCGTCTTGGGGCCATATTGGGCTCCTCATGGGGCCATCTCGAGCCCTCTTGGAGCCATTTTGATGCCTCGGGCAGCCCTCGGAGGCGAACGGGCGAAACGGCTAACATCAGTGCGTTTACGAAGGTTTTCGAAGGAGTTTGGCAGCCTGTGAGCGTCCTGGGGAAGCCCCCAGCCCGCGTGGACCCGTCTTTGAGGAGCCTCGGGATCTTTTGGACCATTTTGGAAGCCATCTTGACCCACCTTGCGCTGTCTCGAACCACCCCGGAGCAATTTTGGACTCCCCGAGGCCCTCTTGAAGCCATCCTGGGCCATCTTGAACGCTCTAACGACCCGCGGGGCGTCCCGTCCAGGTCCAGGAGTAGGGGGTATAGGGGTTAACCCCACCCCGAAGGGGAAGAAGGGAGTTGGAAGAGGAAACCCGCCAGAGCACCCGCGCCCCAAGTGGCTGGTGGGATTGAGTAGCAGCTGTGGCCTCACGAGCGCGAGCGTGTCGTCATTTGTCCGGGAGTGCGCCCTCGAGGTCGCGACAGCGTTGTAAATTATTGGTTTTTCCGCGTAACCCACCAGCCCATCCAGAAACGATGCCCAGACGAGTTGCCCTGATCAGGGATGTGGAGTGGTATGCAGTGGAATAAAAGGCGGGGTAAGATGTCGTACCCTAAGAGGGGGAGGATGGAGGAGGAATCGGAGCAGAAGCAGGAGGAGGAAGAGTAGGGAGAGGGGGAAGGGGAGGGCGGAGAGGGAAGGAAGAGGAACAGGCGGATGAGGAAGAGAAGGAGGAGGAGGAGGAGGAGGAGGAGGAGGAGGAGGAGGAGGAGGAGGAGGAGGAGGAGGAGGAGGAGAGGAGGAGGAGGAGGAGGAGGGGGGCGTGCAGAAAGGCCAGAGACCTTTTGGATGCCTCTCGGAGTCTCTTCGGATGCCGTTCGATGGCTTCTTAGAGTCCTCTTGGTGCGTCTGGGCGGACTGATGGCAGTCCTGGGGGCCTTTTGAAGCGTCTTAGATGCATCTGGGGGGGCCTTTGGGGGCCTCTTCGGGGCCTCTTGGGAGCCTCTTGGGGGTGCCTCTTGGAGGCCTCTTGAGGCCTCCTGGGCACCTTTTGGAGGGGGCTCCTTCGTTAGGGTTCCCCCTCCAGGGGGCAAACATGTAGCCAAAACCCTAGTACGAACGATGATATTGGCCTTCTCGCCGCCGCCTCTTGGGGTGTCTTGGGTGCCCCTGGGGGGCATCTTGGGGCCTCTTGGACTCTCGGGGCACCCTCGGGAGCCTCAGGAGATCGATCGAAGGCGGGAGGGCTTCAATTAGGGCCTCCTCAGGAGGCCGACGTGTGGCTTGTAGCATCATTGGTGCCGGCCTCCTCGCCGAGGCCTCTCGGGGCGTCTTGGGTGCACGGGACCCCCCCCCTGGCGGGCAAGGGGTCCAAGGTGAGGAGCTTCCCGTCGACCCCCCTGACTTTCCAGGAGGGCTAAAAATGGCACCCGACCCAAAAACCTATCCTCGAGCTATTCTACTTTTGGTTTTAGGCTGTTTCGTTTAGTTTTTAAGGTTTTTAGGCCTCCAGTGCTAAAAAAAAGCTCTCTGGAAGGTCAGGGTCGATGATGGATCCTGCCTCGTTTCGCCTCGGGCGGGCGAGGCTGGAGAGCCAAGAGACCCCTGGCAACCCCGGGACGACCAGCCCAGGGCTCCCCCCTCGCTCGCGCCGACAGGGCTGGCGACGTCACAGTGTTCGCCATGGAATGTTCACTCGTGGGGCCGACGCGGTGACACTCCGCTTGGTGCCTGTTGGGAGCCTGGCGGATGACGCGACAGGCGTACAGTGTACAGTCGGGGCGCTGAAGAAGGAACCCTTTTCATTGGGGATGGGCTCCGTGTTCCTTACTTGTTTCGCAGCTTGCCTTAGGTGTTCTTTTGGTTTTCGATATGCAATCGAAGTTTAACTCATGGAAAATAAGGACCTCGTTCCTTGTTTAGGGTTCCTTAGGTCAACGCCCCGACTGTGCGCACAGGAGCCGAGGCAGGCACGCCGCGCCGTGGCACTCGCGCTCCGCACTCGCTCGCCGTAAGCGCATGTGCTCTGACTCGCACTCCTGACCAGACAGCTCCGCACGCCGTCAGAGTGCTACAGGCCTCGGAAAAAAATGGCAAACACTCATGCCACATTATTCATCTGCGAACGCCTCCCCCTCCCCCCAATGTTCAAAGTTGGCGGTGGGTCTGATGAGTTGCACCTCGACCGCAGTCTCCCCCCCGCGGGCCAACTTTGAGTTTTGGGGGCAGGGGGGGTGTTCACTAATTGTTTCCCTCTACTGTACGTCTGGTGTGAGTGGAGGAAGGGGCGGGGCGCTGGATCACGCAGCGGATAATTACGCACATGGTCGATCGTGCGCATCCTGCGCGCAACAGCGCGCACGGAGCCGTTCTCTTCTCATCCAGCGCCAACCCATCTCGCGCACACACACACAGGTCCCCAAGGATGGCCCAAAGCCGCGAGCGTAGCCGCCTCTGTCAATCCCGTGTGTCGAGGTCTGCCCCGGTGTCTGGAGTGGGCCGCTCAGGGACGCGCCCCTCGGCGGTCCCGCGGAGGCGTAGGAGAAGGATGCGGGAGGAACACGACGAAAGCAGGAGCAGCAGCAGCAGCAGCAGCAGCAGGCAGACGTCCTCCCCGGGCATGCCCGGGGGCGAGCGGGCCGACGGCGCCGGGTCGAGGCGGCGCGCCGGCGGGCCGGGCGCGCTCGCGCCCCAGGCGAGCAGTTCGACAACAACGACAGCGAGATCGTGAAGATCGGGGAGCGGGCGCAGGGCTTGGCCTGCCCCGGCTGCGCGGGGCGAGGGCCGACGGGGAGGTTGCTGCTCCCTGGGCGTCTGCCAGCACCAAGTTGTACCAGCAGCAACGGCAGCAGCAGCAGCAGCAGCAGCAGCAGTCGTCGTCGGCGCCAGCATCGTCGTCGTAGTCGTGGTCACCGTCGTGGTAGTGATATGAATGATTCAGTGCGTGGAGCTCCCCATATGTGCACCTCTTTGCAGCACCTTTCCGCCGTGAGGGCCTAGGCGCAAGAGGCTGCGACTAAACGCGGGCTTGGGTGTTCGCATATGAGGAGTGAGTCTAATTGTGAATGAGTGGAACGTGAATGAGTCTCAGTGGTACGAGTGACTCAGTCTGAGTATGAGTCTGAGTATGTCTAAAGCTTAGGATTGATGTATCTGCAAGGCAGTGGCCTGTGCATGACTGAGCGTGGTTGAGTCGACATGGCTACGTGACCCCTCCCTCCATGATGGAGCAAGGAACATGGGTGCTAATGTAAACGCCGTGCGGAACTCTTGCGCCTCGTTGGTTGGTCCAGAAGATTTCACGCAGTGCCTGGGCCGTGATACAGCCAGCCACGCCACTGAGAGGAGAAACCTACGTAAAACACTTAGGGTTGGAGCCACAGGAGGGGGCAATCGATAGGAACATGTGTAACACACTAAGGGTTCGCGCCCCAGGAAATGAGGCCCGATCTATCGGAACATACGTAAATCACTTAAGGATTGGAGCCACAGAAGGGGCAATCGACAGGAACATACATAAAACACCCAGGGTCGTGCCCTGGGAGAGGCCAACTCTGCAGGACCAGACGTAAAACACTTAGGATTGGAGCCACAGGGGAGGGGCAATATAAAGGAGCATGCGTAAAACACCCAAGGACTCGCGCCCCAGGAGAGGCCCAATCTACAAGAACAGACGAAGAACACATATGATCGGAGCCACAGGAGAGGCCCAATCTAAAGGAACATGCGGCAAACACAAAGGATTCGCTCCCCAGGACAAGGCTCCATCGATAGGAACATACCTACAACACATTAGAATTAAAGCCAGTCCTGTGGCCTCCTGGAGCCTCCTGGAGCCTCCTGGGGCTTCCTGGGGCCTCTTGTTGCCTACTGGCGCCTCCTGCCTCCTGGTACCTCCTGGGGCCTCCTGGCGCTGTCTGAGGCCTCTTGGGGCCTCCTGGAACCTCTTGAGGCCTCCTGAGGCTTCCTGGGGCTTCCTGGAGTCTTCTGGGACTTCCTCGGGCTTCCTGGGGCCTCTTAGAGCCTCCTGGTGCATCCTGGGGAGGGTTTGTGCCCCAGGGGAGGCCCAATCCATAGGAACATACAGAAAACACTTAGGACTCGAGCCACAGGAGAAAGGCAAAGTATACGAACACATGCAAGAAACGAAACGAAGGGTCCGGTCCCCAGGAGAGGCCCAATCTATAGAATCAGATTGGAACACCAAGGATTGGAGCCACAGGAGAAAGGCAATCTATAGGAACATACGTAAAATACTGAGGCTTCGTGCCCCAGGAGATGCCACATCTATCAGAACATGCGTAAACCACATACTATTGGAGCCACTCCTGTGGCCTTCCGGGGCCTCCCGGCACTTCCTTGGGCCTTGGGGCCTCTTGGGGCCTCCCGGTGCCTCCCGGTGCCTCCTGGGGCATGCTGGAGCCTCTCTTGGGGGCCTCCTGAAGGGGCCTCCCGGTGCCTCCTGGGGCATTCTGGAGCCTCTCGGGAGCCTCCTGAAGCCTCCTGAGGCGGGCCTCCCGTGGCCTCCTGAGGCTTCCTCGGGCCTCCTGGGGCCTCCGGGGGCCTCCTGGGGCCTCCTGGAGCCTCCTGCAGCCTCCTGGAGCTTCCTCGGGCCTCCTGGGGCCTCCTGGAGCCTCCTGGGGCCTCCTGTGGCCTCCTGGGGCTTTCTAGGGCCTCCTGGGGCCTCCTGGAGCCTCCTGGGGCTTCCTCGGGCCTCCTGTAGGCCTCCTGGAGCCTCCTGGGGCCTCTCGGGACGCATTTTTGTGTTCCAGGAGAGGCCCGCTCTAGAGGAACATGCGTAAAACGCTTGGAGCCAGAGGAGGGGACAAACTCCAGAAACACACGTAGAACACCGAGGATCCGCGCCCAAATCTGGAGAGGCCCAAGCTATAGGAACATATTTATAACACAAAGGAACCTGTTTTGAAAACATGCGAGACTGACCATCGAAAAGGTAAATCGCTCGAGACATCTTCCAAATCTGGGCCAGCCCGAGGTGCGAAAGCCGCAGCCTCGCCCGAGACATCCTCAGAATCTGCTCCGAAAACGGAGGGTGTTGAGCACGCAAAGTGGTAAATTGTTCGAGACATCTCCGCAATTTCGGCACGAACGGAGGAGTGACATACCCCCTGGCGGCCCCCCGGTGCTGGAACCAGCGCCTCGTACGAGACCCTCAGAATCAGCTCTGAACGCAGACAAGTCCCTCAACATCGGCTCCGTCGTCATCATCATCATCATCATCATC